TGCTATGCGACCCTGCAATATTATTGCGCTATGTGAGATATTTCCGGAGAAAATTACACCATTGCCCACATAGTTTCAAATAGTCTAATATTTGGTATTTTCAATAATAAAGACCAATCAAACTAAATTGCCATTCTTTTCCTTTTTGCAAGTTCTTCTCAGGGTTTATTATTATGGCGTTGATTTAAATCGATATAATAAGCATTGAAAAATATTAAGTATCACGTCACGCAATTTAATATTTATTTCCTGTTACAGGGATAGCTTTGTTCTTAATACATTTCTCTATCGTTTTCTCAATCTTTCGTACATTAATGTTAGTATTACGCACTAAATCAATGGTAGAATTAACGAATTTTTAAGAAATGATTTGTGAAAAAGTATTCAGTGTCGTAAAGTTAGCACTTTGAAGAACTCATTGAAAATTAATATTAATTTATGAAGCAAGATAATGACATGAATCTAGTCTTTATTACAATTCACGCCGGTGGAGTAAATTTGGGATACGGTCTATAGCTTGAACAATTGCGTCTATGCGAGTTCCTCCCTGGTTTGTAGGCCTGTTAGCAAACCTTTAACGACAATCAAAATCAGATTGCCACTTCAAAGTGACATAAGTTAACAACAGTCACTTCAGTTTTATCATCAACGCTATTAGGTGCAACAACAGAGTTCAAAACCATTCAAAGGTAAACGTATCGTGAACTATCGTATTATTATTATTGCAAAGGTAATAGCTGTGAAATCTATCCACGATTGATGCAAGCGCAGCGTTGTCCGTCGACCATCCTGTTTTGGCTCATCAACGGCCGCAATTCGCGAGGTTTTGCTTCATTTGCATTCGCAGCGCCGCGGCGCCCTGAACAACCCGAGGTACCGCCGCAGCGCCCCCCCCCCTCGCGTTGCTCCACCCTCTCCACCCTTCTCGCTCGCGTGCGCGCCCCGCCCTCTCCCTCGTCCGCTCAACTCGCACGGTTCCACTCCCCCCCCCCTTCCCTTGCCATCCTCACCCCCTCGAACCGGCCCCGGCTCTACCTCCCCGCCCGATCCTCCACCTATGCCACGCGCCTTAGCCCCCGCTCCGCTCCAGGGCCCTTCTCCTCCCCGCCATACTCGATCCCCTTCCTAGACCACCCCCGCTTCCACCCTCAACGCACCGCCTATGCCTCTCCCTATGCCAGCCGCCTTGCCCCGCCTGCGCGCCTCCAGGGCCCCCTCCCCGCCCATACTCCAGCCCCTCCGTAAGACCACCCCGCTCCACCCTCCCCGCCCATCCTCACCCTATGCGTGCCAGCCGCCTTGCCCGCTCGCTCCAAGGCCGCTCCCTCCCCACCCATTACTCAACCCCTCCTAGACCACCCCGCTCCACCCTCCCCGGCCCACCCTTCCTTCCCGTATGGCCAGGCCGCCTTTGCCCCGCTTCCGCTCCAGCCCCTTCTCCTCCCGCGCCCATACTCAGCCCCTCCTAGCACCACCCGCTCCACCCTCCCCCGCCCCATCCTCTCCCTATGGCAACAGCCGCCTTGCCCGACTCCCGCTCACAGGCCGGCTCCTCCACGCCCTATAACTCACCCCTCCGTTAGTCACCCACCGCCGCTGCCACCCCTCCCCGCCCATCCTCACCCGTATGCCAGCCGCCTATAGCCCCGCCGTCCGCTCCAGCGCCGCTCCTCCCACGCCCATACTCAACCCCTCCTAGACCACCCCAGTCTCACCCTCCCGGCCGCGCGATCCTCTCCCGTATGCCAGCCGCCTTGGCCCCGCGGCTCCCTCCAGCCCGCTCCTCCCCGCCCCATACTCACCCTCCGTAGACCACCCCGCTCCACCCTCCCCGCCCAGGTCGCTCCTCCGTATGCCAGCCGCCTTGCCCCGCTCCGCTCCAGCCGCGCTTCCTCCCCGCCTCATACTCACCCCTCCTAGACCTACCCGCGTCCAACCTCGCCCGCCCTCCTCTTCCCTATAGCCAGCCGACCTTTGCCCCGCTCCGCTCCAAGCCGCTCCCTCCGCGCCCCATCTCACCCCTCTAGAACACCCCGCTCCACCCTCCCGCCCATCCTCTGCCCGTATGCACAACCGCGCTTGCCCCGCTCCGGCTTTCCAGCGCCGCTCCCTCCCCGCCCCATGCTCACCGCCTCCATAGACCACCCGCGTTCACCCTCCCCGCCCATCCTCTCCCGTATCGCCAACCGCCTTGCCGCCCGCTCCGCTCGCAGGCCGCTCCTCCCCGCCCATACGCACCCCTGCCTAGACCACCCCAGCTCCACCCTCCCCGACCCTCCTCTCCCGTAGGTCCAGCACGCTCGGCGCCCGCACAGCCCTTACCGCCCGGCAGTCCCTCCACCCACCGCCTCCAACCGCCAACCCATACATATCCCGAGTCGCGCCGTGCCCGCTAGCCGGCCCGAGGCGCATCATCCCTCCGCTTCCAGCACCGCCCTTTCACCTCCCCTGCCAGCACCACTCCCCCGGCTCCGATGGCGCTGCAGCTGAAAGGCGAGGATCACATGCCGGGGTCGGGGATCTGTCCCCAGGTTCTCCCGCAGTCGAGCCGCCAGGGACGATCGTCGGCCACCCCGCCCTCGACCCTCCCCCTCCCCTCTCCGCCCCCCGCCGCCAAACCCTCTCCAGGCGTGCACCACGCGCAGATCCTCTATTACCCACCTTCAATGCAACGCCGATTACCAGTCCATCAAGTTTGGCCAATGTTAATATGCAATAGTATTGAATTAGCCCGCCGATATGGTAATGTTTGCTTTGTGGCGGCTGGAGCTGGGCACAAGCCCCACCTCGCGACGCATCGATCCGTGCAAACGCACAGCGCGCAGGTGATAGGCTTAATTCAAAGTTGCGCTACAAAAAAAGTGAGTTGATCTTTGATTGACACCTGAACATTAAACTAATATGAAACACATTAACACTATCTTTTGGTAGATGAATCATTTGCTAGTAAAAGTGAATTTTGCAAAGCTTTGAATGACAATAATTTTAAACCTTTGCTTTTAATTCCCCCAAATTGCATTATTATATTAGTTTATTTTTCATTAATTATTTATTTTATGTTACTAGTTGAGCAATCCCATTATGCACGAGATAGTTGTTTATAAACGAGCACTAGCGTGAGAAGATGATGCAACACATGCCCCAAGGAGTACGAACACTCACCAAAATCGGTGACATCTGTTGGACTCTACAAAATTGTACGACCTACAAATTCAAACGAATCGTACGATAGCAGCAAACAAACCGGTTATTGTTTTCTGCGATTTGGAGAAAAAATCTTATCTACTTGTAGATGTTGCTGTGCCTTGCTATCAAATCGTCGTAACCAAGGAGGAAGAGAAACGTGTTAAACACAAGTGATTGGAAATCGAAATCACCCGAACGTGGAGCGTAAAGCACAGGTCGTACCAATAGTTATCGGAGCTCTGGGATTTGTTCAGCAAAATTTGTGCAAGAATTTGGCTAAACTCTCAGGTCATTCAAAAGTCTGGGAAGTGCAGTAAATTGCTTTACTTGGAATAGCCCACATATTGTGCAATGTATTGCAGAGGCATCGACAGTTACTAGATCTGCTCCTTAAGTTGCAACGTGAGTAGATTTTATATTCAGTCGACTCATATCATTTCAGTCGTAATGTAGAGGAAAATAATAATGACAATAATAACGATAATAATATAGTAATATTTTTTTATTGTTCTAAAAATAAGATGTAATAATAATTATGAATATTATTAAAAGAAGAAATAAAAGTTATTTATTCTTCGACGTTTATTCTATTGAAATGCTTTTGATGGAAGTAAATTGTGTTGTTTGTCAGAACGTTTAGGCCTTCTGCCACTCTTACCGGAACTTGCAAACGGAAGCTTAACCTCAGTAAGTATGAAAAATATTAGTATTTAATTCAGTTTATGCCTTTGTATATAGGATGGTTTCCAATTAAAGTACGAAAGTTTTTCAAAAAATTCAAAATTTCATTAATTATTAAAGTGATTTAATTTTATCTTAAGAGCTAAACATTTCTCGACTATTTGCAAATTTAAAAGTTTCTTTAAAAACATCATATTTGGGTGTGGATACGATTTCAGATCAACTCTTCGCTTATGCACTGGCCATACGTAGGAAGTGCGTCCTCTCCCCCTATTGCGTGGGAGGGGAGGTGCGCAGCTGGCAATGTGGCGGGACAATGCGCGGCCGGCGGCGCGCGCGCCTTTGGAGGAGGCGCGTGCGCAAACAATGACGCGGACGCAACGCGCGTAATCCCATCGCCGACTCCACCGTTAACGCCTCCTCGTCCCCGGCGGCGGCAACTGTCAACGCGTCGTTGCGCCGCGCCGCGCAGTCCCGCGCCAGCCCTCGCCGCCGGCGCCGCCCCCCACGCACCATCGCCCAGCATCGCTCGCCACTCCGCCCGGCTGCTCTGACAACATGCCGCCCCGCCCCACTATCACTAATGCCTCCGCCCCTTCCGCTAGTCGCAACCCCACCTGTCTCACCTCTCGACCCGCTCCCTCGCCCCTCCACAGGTCCGCCATCACCGTCCCTCGCTCCACGCCTGGTCCACTGCTCCCTCCACCGCCCCTTCGCCCAGCTGAGCTCTGATCCACCGCTCCGGCGCCTTCGCGACCCGGCCCACTCCGCCACCCACTGCTGCTCACGGCACAGGCTCGCGTGGTGAAATTCTGTTCCATTTATTATTAATTATTGTTTTTAATTAGATAATTGCATAATTAATATATTGCAATAAATAATTGCATACTTAATAACAAATCTAAAATATAATCTAATGATTAGCTGGATTCAAGCACTGTTTATAAATATTAGAATTGAAATTGAGGTATTATAATGACGTTTATTTATATTATTTGTACAGTTATGTGGTGCTAACCTAGATCTTAAACCTAAACTTATACTGATCTTACAATCTACTATTTACGATTTTACGCTACTTATTTACATTATTTACACACTTTTATTCTTATAATCTAAACTTACATGCTAACGCTTACATACTTACAAACTAAACTTACAGTACACTTTACTTATTTATTATATTTATGCGCACTAGAACTTACAATCTAAACTTCCATATTAGCACTGAAGCGTTCATAGTTTGACAGTCAAACTTGTACTGACTCTTTAGAGTCACATTTGCTTTTACACTTTTTCCCCGCTTTGTCGCCGGAGGAGAATTTCTTCGGGGCAGCGTCGATACCCTCGTAACACTCGCCAAAGGCCCTTACTGCGACAGGGAGGTGTTCAATCGCCCTATAGCGCTGACCAACGAGAATTACATACTCGAGGTAAAGGGAAATATGCGAAACGAAAACTAATCTTTAAATCGCTAGTCATTTTTCCTGCTGGCGTTTAATGCTAATCAATACATTCGCCGAAAGACCTCAGATTAATATTGTTGAAAGTCGTTCCTAGCACATTAATTAAGAAATAATTGCAATTATTTTCGATTTGGTTACAACTTTAATTTTATATTGATCTTATAATATCTTGCCCCTACTGAATTTCTCTGCGCCTTAATGGATGCGCTAGTTTGAGCTATCTTTGAAAGGAAAGAATTTATCTCTTCGACAATCATGAAATAACGGGAATTATGGAAATTTAATGGATTTTAACTTCCCCGTGTACGCTCTAGAACTCGAAGGTCGACACACCATTACGTGAGGTGGTTGGCATTTTATGCATCGGCGTCTCTGCGCGCTTCCCTGCGACGACAGAGATCGTTCAGAGGAGATTGCACTGACGCCGGCTCCCGTGCGCCGTTGCAGGCGAATAAATTCTCCGAGCGAGATGCCTTCGCTCAATGAGACTACGTAATGGCCGACGTTACTCGCGTATGAACAAGTTAACTGACGCAGTATCATACTCGCTCGTGTCATGTGATGAAATATGGCGGGTAAATACACAGAAATAACTCAATGAAAATGCTTTAGTAACATTTCATGCCAATGTTCAGAATATTCACTAAAATATTTGATTATTTTCTCCATCGTAAACGATGAAATACTTTTTCTGATTTTTATTTTCATTTACAATAATACACGTTATTCACTTAAACTGCACGTCTAGTTGCGATATACAGAGGGAGTCTCGTAACTTAAGCACCTCCTGTAACTTTTGAAAGGTTGAAGTTGTTGAAGCGCAGTTTTCGTCGAAGTACATGACGGAAGCATTTTTTAGTACTTTGTTGTTGTTGTTTTGCGATTAGTGTAACGGATATTTTGAATGCGACATTCCACCACGTTAAGTCGCGCCGCGCTTCTCCTCCTAGCGCGCGCACGGGAAAGAGAAGGAATATTAGTGTTTGAAGATACGAAACATATTCACGAAACTGTTGCAGTTTCTTCCCTTAAGTCTGTTTTCCAACCTTCCGCATTTTCAGAGTTTCTGTATTACTTAAGAATTGAAAGTACGGATTTGTCATAAGTTGTATTTATTGAAATAAGATTCTTTCTATCCGTTATTATATCTTTATTAACATTAATTGTTTTTAAATATCTTAATCTTTGAAACAATCTGTACTACCTTATAATGATGAAATAATTATGGATAAAAAGTTCTATCATATGTGCCAGCAATTACTAATAAAATTACTAATAAATAAAATAATTAAAATTACGAAAATACTTAAACTAAAGTTATTAAAATAATACTTTTTTTTAAATTTACTAATAAAGTATCCATAAAATTACTAATAAAAAATTTAAAATAGTGTAAATTGAATATAATTACTAGATATATATTAACCAACAAGAAAAATCTTATTGGAAATGTTCCCACTTCAGAGGTAGAACAAATGTACTGTATCTGTTGCCAAGATTGCAATAAATCATATATTGAGCAAACAAAATGTAAAATGAAATACAGAATGCGTGAATAAAATAATGTTTAAAGAATGCGTGAATCTAATCAGAGAATAGAATTTTCACACAAATTTGATTCGAAAAGCCAGGATAAAATATAATTGCGGATACCGTATTTATAAAAAATTACAATACTATAATTCAAACCAAGAATGTAATGTTTTTAAAAATACTCAGTCGATAGCATAAAAAATTGGCGATATCCTGGCCTCAACTTTACCATAGTGTATGTACTCGCCGTGCGGGCTTGAGCTGACCAATACGCTTTAGCTTTATTTAAGAGAGGTGGCACTACTCAATGAAGGAATCTCTTCTGCGATCTCTAACACTCGCGATATTTTCATCCGCTTGGTAGGTCTTAGTCTAAAATATACAATCCATCTCTTCTCACTCTCTAGGTCACTTTTGTCCTCGTCACATTAGCCTCGGCTACTGTCACCAGAAAGTGACGATAATATACACAAGCATGCACCTCGTATCGTATGCACTTCGCTCTTCCAGTCTGCTCTGGGAACTCTCGCCCCGGCATGCATTTGATATCTCGTCAATTTTCTCTCTATTTGCTCGAGACACCGGACATTCACAATCTCTCTATCTCTTTGCTATCCACTGTCTTATCACTTACAGGGACGTCCGTTTTGTTCTCTTTCACTTCTTCATAAAATCTTTCTTACCTTTCCAACCCTCGATCTTTCCTTCATTCTTTGGTCTGCTGTTTCCTTTTCCATATATTCATGTCTGCTCATTGAATTATTTTTTTCTCCTTTCACCTTATTACCTTTTCTCGTTTCTTTTTTTATTTTCAAGCTTCCGTTTAATTTTTAGCGCTCTCTTCTGAGCCTCACATTTTTTTAAATTTCCTTTTAACCTATTACACTAATATTTCGCGTTTTTCTTCATTCCTCTCTTTGATATATTGTATTTAATGATCATTTTGCTCCTAATATCTGCATACACTTGATATTCACATTAACTTCTTCTCTTACGACAGTGTTTTCAATTCTACTTATCACACCTGACAGTTCTTCTACTTAATCTTGAATCGTCCCATTCTCTTGCCCTTGGTTCCTACGCCGGTTGTTTTAATCATCTCTCTCTGCGTCATGTATCGCCCATTCCTCCGCCGCGTGCCGTTCCTCGTCCTCTCTCCCCCTCCGCCCTCCTCCTCCTCCCTGAGCGGCACTCCCCGAGGCCGCGGGGCCCCCGCGAAACGAAAATGAATTGCATTCGGAGTCGCCGCAGTGAGTGGATGGCGTAAGGAAATTAAACAGATTTGTGAAGATGCGCCCGGTGTGGACGGGGCGCGAGCGGCGGAGGGGAACTGGGGCACAAATTAAATCTCTGAAGTGTTTGCAGGCGCGGGGCGAGGAGTGGGCGGATCGTGGCGGGGAGCGGAGTTTTGGGGAGAGAAACACCGTGCCGACGCAGCTGGCATATATTGACGATGTTGCATACAGAGAGTGGCAAAGATGAAAACCGTAAGGAGCTTAATACTCTGAAGAGGGGTAAATGTGAAGTGATGTGATGTGATAATGAAAGCCATGTCAGAATGTAGAGGGGATCCTGAGAAGAATATGGCTTGCAAACGGTGTGATAAAGTTGACATGAAGATATTTTAAAATAGAAGAGAGTGTGTTTAAAAGGGTTAATGGGTGAATAAGTGATCAAAGAACTGTATTGGTGAGGTCGTAGAAAGTCACAAGGGATCAGTGATAACACAAATGTGAAGAACGCCTACACACAGTTGGTGATGAGAGGGAGACAGAAGAAAGAAGAGGTAAGGTTAAATGATTTAATACGTTCTGTTTGCGGGCGCGTCAACTGCTATGAACATAAGCAACGAAAGTTAAGAGCATGTTTTTATCGCGCAATGTGGGGGTGTTCTCCCACACAGGATGATGAGATACAGGTATCTCCCACCAGCGGGGCTCCTCCGTAGCCAGGACAAACTCTATGCTCCCATCTGGTATCCCGACATGTGTGGCAGTGAAGCGTATGCAAATGTAACGAACACGAAGGCCGTTTGCACGCGGCCCGTGCCCCGGTTGTTAGGATATTACTCCGGCATTCGCCTAGAATCGATCGGAAAACACACAGAATGGTACTTTTAAGAGCAAAACGCCACTAGAATTCTCCTCCAGACAGTGACTGAATTCAACTTTGGTGTCTTGGGAAAGAACTGATTTGCGCTGTCCGAGTACTTTTAGTGGCGTTTCTTTTAGTGTGTGCGCGTTCTTGCTATGATCTTCATAAAGTATTAATGAACTATGAGGAACATAGAGAAGGCAAATCAGGCGGGAATAGAGAAAGAGGTATTTAATTACAATGCCACTTGACTTAATATTGCAATTTGACACACATACCCAGTAACTCGAAATTTCTGATTGCCGTCGCGTCTGGTAAACAAATCCGTTAGTGAACAATTTTACCGCTAGAAGCGTTTGAGTCAATTCTGCAATAATTATGAATAGGCTCAAAAGCTTTCAGGCAGAAATCATGCAGTCTGGTCTGCAGGTATTCTGTGCGTTCAATCTGCATGAAAACTGTACTGTGTATATTTACAGGCCTTAAATACCTTGGTAAAACATAATGTATGTTTGTGGATATGCAGTATTTTCTGTTTAATATTTCTACAGCACTTGCTTCTTTGAAACGTAATCGCACAAATTTAACTAGTTTATAAAACTTTAATAACACACTTTTTTAATTCTTTGTAAAACGCTAGGGTTTGGAAATGGGCTCTTCAGAATCTTTGTTGTATCATCATGAAAAAATCTAATGATACACAAGATTTACTACTAAGGAAGAGGAACAGAAAATTGTTCCAATAGTCAAACGCGGCATTAATTGTCAATTTATATAATCTTTCTCATTAATCACGAAGATGTTAGGAAAGTGAGAAACACAAAAGCTCCAAGTAACCTGTTCACTCGTGTGAAATTTATTAAATTCACAGCTAAGCCGTTGAATAACGAAGGAATCGACAAGTGCCATGTCCGTAGAAGCCCAGTGTCGCTTGCCTGTTTGGCCGTGGCCGCTACCTGTGAGCCCGGTCGCCACTCGCCGCTGTCACGTGACCGTAAAACGCCGCCACGGGAGAAGCTGGCGGCATTAATCTGCGCTGCGGGCTCACTCAGAGGGCGCATTACATCAGCCGCCACGCCCCCGCTCCGCCCCGCCCCCCGCCCCGCTCCTCCCCGCTCCGCCCCGCCACACGCCCTTCGCCAGCCACCTTCGCTCCCCTTTGTGGCGGCGCGCCCAGGTACGCCCCACCCCCGCTGCCCGGCTGCACGCGTCGTCTACATCGTCCCCGACAGATCACGTACGGTTGGCCCCGCCCCCGACGATGCTTCAGCCTTTCAGCATCGCACTGCCCGTCGTTCCACTCCTTTTGCTCTATTGTTTCCCCACACTTCGCGTCCCTGTTACAATATTCCGCAACTTGGACGGAATGTCCTTCTAATCATCCTCCTAGCTATTCCTAATACCATCAATCCGCAAATGCTCCATTCCGCTGGCTTGGTCTGTTAGTACCCCGTAGGGAGGTATTGAGGAAACTTGTTTTTTTCCAAATTGTACTGTAAATATTTTTCAGTCTATCACGACGAGCGCAAAAACACGAATCCAATGATAAACATATTGTCATATGATTGATTTTGATGACCTTTTTTTAGTAATTTTGATTTTTTGCGACTCGTATTAAACGATTTGCGATTGACGACAGTTTGATATTCTGAAAATCCCTTCACTTTGTTAAACATAATATTAATTAACTTCATATTACAAATCGTAGAACGTTAGGCGCAAAAACTTGAATCTATTAAGTCGCAATGTAAATACACATTACTTAAGCGTTACAAATATTTCGAGGGAGAATATGATATTTCGCAAAAATTTGCTGGAAGAGCAAAGTAATATCGAGGTAATAAATTTGAAATATTTATTGCTTGAAACGTTTCATTCAGAGCCTAAGGACCATTCTAATTTCTACGATTTATAAGATTTATCTTGAAGGATACGCGCGTTGTAATTTGAAATATTATTCACTTAATTAAAATTTTAGTTTGAATTATAATTTACTATTACATTACGGTTATATTATTGCATTACGGTTATTAAAATAATTTTGTACGCACTTTTATTTAATGTACAATAATGTAACATTCACTTTTCAGCAATCTTCTCATTTAATTCTCATTGCAATTTACCAATAGGAACGTAGCGATGAGCGTGAAGGTCACAGAAAAATCTCTCATTCTCAGGCGGCGTTTTCCAGAAGACTTTCGTGTGATAGAAGACAACCTAGTGATAGTAGATAGTGGATTTAAATTTTGTAATATAAGAAAATGTGAAAGCTGCTTGGAGCTGTCATTGGAATCTTAAAAAGAAGTATTAGCTTTAATATTAATCAATCATTAAATGTTTAAATATTTATTCATCATTATTTAGTCATTAAATTGCACTCATAAAAGAAGGCGATGACAGCCCCCGGTAGTTCGCGTTATTATCAACCAATAACTTTATTTACGTCTATCATTGTTGGCATATTTATAGTGTTTTATTTATACAATAGCACATTAAATAATGTTTCTGTACTGTTTATATGTTTCTGCAATGAAAATGTTTGCATAGAAAGTATTTTTGCAGTCAAACCAACTTTTGTGTGTTTATTTCAGCTCAACCAATCGAAATATCCAAGGAGTTTATTCGACAAAATATATTTTAACTTGTCTTAACAGCTTATTTTCGAATTTTCGACGTTTCCTCCAAGTACACATGTATAAACTATGAAATGAAATGTATAAATTACGTTTCCTAACAATCCGCCTTCGGGAGAGGTGGCTAAAGGCATCAGCTGACGTCAATGCAGTGTCTTTGACCGGGAGATCCTAGGTTCGAGTCCCAACAATGACCGGATTTTCGACACTAGCTTCAGAGCTAGGTCGAGTTCAGGCGCTTCTGGAGGGGAATTGTAGTTGGTTTCTCCGATCAATACCAGGCGAATGCGGGTAATCAAGCACACGGACCATGAACCTCGCGCGATCTTCCCTTCCTCTTCATTGCTCTTTCTTCATGTCCTACTTACACCCACTTACACTTGCATTCATTGCACTACCATGTATGTCGTGCCACCGATCGGGAACTTAAGAGTTTGTCCCGGGTGGGTTGTCTCGCTGGTGAGAGATACCGCGAACCTTGACAACCGACGGTAGGCCATTTAGCGGAGACAGATCTCCGCCGCCTCTCGAGGAGAAACATGCACACCGCTTACGGGACAAGTGACCTATTCAGTTTACGAACCACTAATCAGTCATTCCAGTGACGCACCATTTTCCCACACCCACATTCCGTTTCTCCTGCACTCCTTTGTTTGCCTATGCCGCAACACCGTGTAGGCGCCGCCCCCACTAGTTCCCCCACCTGGCGGCGCCGCGAAGGCGCTCCTTCACCTCCCCTCGCTGCTCCTCCCCGCTGACCTCCGCCGCCCGCGGCAGGGCGCCCGCCCCACCCACCCCTTCGTCACGAGTCCGCAGCATCGCTGTCCCTGTTAGGTGCGTCCCCACGAGGACAAGCGACGAATTAGGCGCTGCAAGCGAAGATTGGCCTCGTGACTAACTTCCTCAACAGCAGGTCTGCTGTGCGGTTCCATTCACTGTGAAAGCTCTTCTTCGTTATCGTCAATGAAATATTCACATTAGATTATTGACTAAGAAATAGATAAACGCATAGAATTAAAATAAATTTTACTGAACACAAGTGGATTTTCGAAAGGTATTTTCAAAAACCAACATTCGTTTTAAAGACTTTTGGTGCATAAAATAATCCAAAAATTAAACCCATATAATTTGCAGAATACGCTGTTGCAGTGGGAGTACCTATTCTTGCATTAAAGCATCTATTTCAATTCCTAATTGTAGAAAATTTGCAGACGCCCCTATTTTAACTATGTACCATTAACATTGACATACTCAGCTATTTTGATAACAATATAAATATAATTATGTAAATGTAATATTATTATTTTTCTCCTTTTATATACCTTCATTCTTTCTACATTTACGAATTCAAAAACAAATTGTTCGTGTAGCAAATTTTCTGTTACTGATGAGAAGAGTTAGATAAAAGATAAATAATTTTGAAAATAATCTTTTTATCATTCTATGATTTAAGTTTTATTTCGGGTAATCACATGCCAGTATCTTCATGTTACAAGACTTGAATTATCGAAAATACGAATATATTTAATGATGTGATTTCTTGTTGTCTTCAGTAAAATAACAATTTCTTAACAAAATTCAATCGATGCCTCTGAACATTGATGAGGGCACACGAATTTAACAAGGGAATAGCACTTAACCGAAACAGCTTTCAAGAACAAATTATTTTAAACAATTACATATTTCAATAAGAAAATAATTTGATTATTTTTGAAGTATTGGCAGTGAGAGATGGATAATGTTCAAAACTAAAATAAACAAAATTTTACAAGTCGTGAAATATGGGAATATTATTATTAATATGGAAATCAAAAGTCACGAAAGAAGTCCATGGCTGACGTAGTAAGGATAGTGTTTAGGAGAAAAAAAGAACTGAAGCAACCCGGAAGGTATTGTCTTTAGATTTTTATCACAACCCATCCTCATCAACACTGTGGATGTCTCCAGGGCTTTCAGCTTTAATGAAATAGTTATACAAGTTGTTGGCATAGAGGCGGTCAAATTAATACAAATTTGTCATTGGAACACCCCTTTCGAAGGGGTGAAAAGCTCAGAAGGGATTATGTTTATTTTATAAGATAATATATCGTGCTTGGGCGAGCAGAAGAATGTCATGAGTCGAGGAGAGAAGTAAGCAATTAAAATCTGCATTTTTGTGTACAAACTCTTACATTTCGTGTACATTGTAGTACCTTCGCGGAATCCAATTGTATCCACGTAAGACGAGACGAGATTGCATAGTTTGAGAATTCGGAGACGCGAGCAGTTTCGTAGAAATCGTGTGGAGTTGCTAAGTAATACGCATATTGGGGGCATTGAAAGTTGGTTTGTACTTTGACAGCACGGTATACAGACACCGTGACCCAGCGCTTCGAAACGCGGTAAACACAGAAAACACGAATAACGTATGGAACGTACATTTTCGTCCAGATAAAAGTAACCTTGACAATCTCTTCAGTACTTATGTTTCTTACGGCCAGGTGTTAATTTTGTCAATGTCTTTCCAGAGTCTTCTCCTCTGACGAAAACACAGAAAGACCCTTGAAGTTCCAAACACAAGTCCCAAGTGGTACGAATTTTCACCAAAATCTGTAACATATGTTGGACTCTATACAATACAGTAGGACCAACAAATTCAAACGGATTGCACAATTGCAGCACACAAACAGTATATTGTTATCCGGGATTTGGAGAAAAAATCGTGTCTACTCCTAGATGTAGTGGTGCCTTGTGATCAAAACGTAACCAAGGAGGCAGGGAAACGTCTTAAATACAAGTGATTGGAAATCGAAATCAGCCGAATGAGGAGTGTAAAAGCACAGGTCGCAACGATAGTCATCTCTCTGGGCTCTGGGATTTGTTCGGCAAAATTTGTGCAAGAACTTGACTAAACTACCAGGTCAGTCAAAAGACTGGGAAGTGTAAGATATTGCTTTATTTGGAACAGCCTATATATTGCGCAAAGGCACCGACAGTCACTAGATCTGCCCTTAGGTAGCTGGTTGCAACCTGGAGTAGAATAATAGTAGTAGTAGCCGAATAATAATAATAATAATAATAGTAATAATAATAATAAATTTATTTGTGTGTAGGTCTATTTCATCATCATCGTTTTAATCTACCCTCCAGGCCTTACAACCTTTGGGTTTAAAAATAGAATCAGCATTAAGGGCTGATCTCCCAATAGAAGTGTAACGTGCACGTACTTCGATAATCATGTATGAGTCCCGATGGAGTGCACGTATTACGTGGCCCCGTGATGGATGATTCGCGAAACAGATAATAATAGTAATAATAATAATAAATAAATAAATAAATAAATAAATAAATAAATAAATAAATAAATAAATAAATAAA